ATCCCCCAAGACACCATCTGTGTATGGCTCTGGCTTCTGTGCTGCCTTTTTTTTTTTTTTTTTTTTTTTCAGGGAGAGAGTGTTCTGATCAGCTACTGTCTTATGCTGGATGGATAGTCTGATGGGTGCATTTCTCATGATAAACTAGGAAATTGGCGTTCTGGCTCCTGTGAGAGCATTGAAGGTGAATCTTTCCCAAGAAGCAGATCACCCCTAGAAAGGCTGGCAAAGTGGAACTTCAGGACTGCCAAGCCAAGGACCTGACCCTGGTTCCCACCCAGCAACTGGCTCTTAATCTGCTGTAAAAAGAGTATAAATGCCATAGTGAGGCCTAATAAGAAGCCACAGCACCTCTAATCTGCCATGGTTATAAACTGCATTTTTAATCACTGCACCATTTTGCCTCAGTTTTCCTTATATTCACATATTTTGGTGATCTAAAGTCTGTTTCTTTCATACACATTTCCATATTTTTCCTTATGTGTCCTATATGGTAAATTTATGTCCAGGTGCAAGTCATTAATATTTTAGAATAAAATATCTATAGAAGAGGAAGAATGTTGAATACTGGGTATCCATTTTCTATGAACACTGTATTACTACTGCACAATGACAATTTTAACCCCTACTTTAGTTCTGAGCTGGAATTAATACTCTAAGTAGAGACAGTTGCCTTAAAATGTCCTGAAAAGAGAGGAGAGGCATCCTTCCCATACCGGATGCTTCCTATCTGGTGCATTTCCAGTGGGAATACACAAAAGGTTTTTATGAGCCAGGCTGCATAAGCACACAGGGTAGGAAACAGAGCATTAGGATCACATGAAAGCAGAAGAAGAATATTGGTCTCAGGAAGGCTAGAATGGGACTAGAGCACAAGAGCCAAGGCTCTGCTCCTGTAAAAGAGACCATAAAACCCCTAAGTGAGAACTCCATCTTTCCAAAAATAAGAAAAAAGGTTTTTCAAAATGAAACATGCTAAAAGCACCAGAATCTCTTCACTCAAATTGTTCAGAGTGTATGATCTCATGTCCTTACATACACACCCCTCAGTAGAGTCATAAGGAAGAGAAATCGCAACATTATGTTTTTATTGCTGCTATTAGCCTTTAAGAACATGAATTGATTATTAACAATATCATGAAAAACAAATAGTATAGAGGGACAGTGATGATGGGAGAGTATAAAAGATGAGAAAAAAAACTAATCTTTTCTCTACAACACATGAATTGCTTTTTTACTGTCTACTCCATGGACAAATATATTGTGTAACAAGATGTTGGAAACAAAAATGCAAAGAAGTTATCTTTTCACCATGGTGTAAGGCCCAGGAAGGCAGGGATTTTTATCTTGTTTCATAAACTACTATGTCTCCAGCACTTAGTCTCATGCCTGGAATATGGTAAGGATTCAATACATCCATTGAATAAATTTTTGAATATTATCTTATGGAAGAGAAGATGATATCATGATGAAAATATGAACTATCTGTGCTTAATTTCTGGTTCAAGTCCCAAATGTAGGCCTGGTTTGCCTGATGACTTAGAGAAAGTACCATATTTTCTGTGGGGTATTTGATTGTGCTACTCATGCACTTTCCTCTGCCCTGAGCATGAGGAATCTCTCTCTCTCTTTCTTTTCCCTGCATGGGTTCCCATACTGCTATGAAAATCTAGTTCATTGATGACTGCCTCATGGAGACTTTTCATGGTTAATCAAATTGGAATCATTATTCTGCCTTACTCTGTGCATTTGCTACAAGGAATAATAATTGGCACGATGGCAACATTAGAAAAACTTTATCTAAATTTACTTAGACTTTCCCTCTGCTCTTCCCCTCGATTGTCATTTCTTCTTATAATATCTCACTATCCATTTCTTTCCTTACTGGCCTGGTCTTTCACAGGGTCTAAGATTTATTACTGACAATCTTCAACCCCTGCAACCTCCTGCCACTGTTAAAATATCTGTTATATGAAAATTTCTCAATATCTAAGACATATTAAATGAGTAATGAGTAAATGACTCATTCCTGTACTACAGAACTCAAGAGATAGTTGACGCCAGTAGACAGAATACTGATCTGATAATCCTGCGACCTTGTTTCTAGAAGGAGATCTGTCACTAACCAGTTTTGTGAACTTAGGCTACTCAGTCTGCCTATGCTGCTCTTTTCTCAGGTGTAAGAGTGAGAGTTCGTCTAGAACAGTGCTTCTGTACTTCTGTAAGTATGTATATATGTTCTGTAACACCGGTCCTGATGTGTCATTCAAAAATATGTTCTGAGATTATATTCACTTCAGAATTGCTATCACCTCCTTGAATATTAGAAAGTTGAAGGATCTGACAAGTCCTGAAATTAATAAACTGTTTTTCTTTACCTAATAATTTTTTTAAAGGCAGAGGTAGCATATTGGTAGTTCCCTAGAGAACCTTATGAGGAAATCACTAGTTGAACTTTCTGAGGAGCTTGGGTGCCATTGCAAATCTCTGTAGCTCTAATGCCAGCTACTGTAGGTACAGAGGTGGAATAGGGTAAGATTTCTGCTTTTCAGGCATATAGAATCAAATCTGGGGGAGAGACACAAATAAATGTGACATAGTGGCAATTGTAGATTAAGGTCTGTTCAAATAATAATGGGCTTGAGGACTGAGAAGCAAGTAAATCTGCCCAGAGTGGGGGCAGAGGATGAGGAAGGGAAGGCTCCACAGGGATGTTGCAATAGAGAAGTTGGGAAAGGATGTTCCAGGCAGAAGGAACAAGGCATAAAATCCAAAGGTGTGTTCTAGGCCTGGGAATTAATTCTATGGTTATGGAGCCTAGAAGCGGAAGCTGCCTAGGAAGAAAGTGGAGGGACAAAGTTCTGGGAAGTGGGTGGAGGACTTGTTTGCCATGTGCTGTAAATGCTACCTTAGGGAATCTGTACTTTATCTTGTAGGTAAAAGGAAAATATCCTTAGATTGGGTTTTCATCATTATCATTACCTAATCAATAAGTATTTCTCAAAAAGAATTTTAAAGTGCTAAGGCAGAGAGGAGCTGCGAGAGACTGCCACGGAAATTAATTCTCATTCTATTGACACAGCTCAAGTAAGAAATGATGAAGGACTGAATAATGAAATGCAAAAGGATGAGATGGAAGAAATAGTTTTGACAGTAATTTAGGAACTACACAGACCAGTAAGAGTGATTGGATAGAAAGAAAGAGGAATACAAAATACCTGTACAAATTCAGCCTGGGAGAGTGTTGTGTGATTATAACATTAATAAGGGTAGGAATTTCCAGGAGTGAACTGTTTCATATAGGTTCTGAATTGGACTAGGGGGTTCTATTACACAGTAATTCTCTTGTACAAACATATCCATTGATTTTTGTGTTACAGAGTTCAAGAGTGATTTAACAAAAGACTATACAAGATTCTTTTTCAGGATGTTCAGCATCCACCAAAATATCTATTTCAAACTAAAATTTGGTAGTATTCAATATATTCTTGTCAACAAAGCAGCATTTAAATCTGTAACTTTTTTTAAATTTTAGCCTCTAACTGATAAATAATCATTTCTGGGACTATAAATCAATTTTGGTTTTCATTCAACCTGAAATTATTCTTTCAGCCATGGATTTATTCTGTATACAGAATATCTCAATAGAAGGTTGTGAAACTATTTCCATTTTCTAGTAGGAAACAGAACACAAACAATTTTAGTGATGGTTTATATATTAAGCCATTATTTTTGGAATTAATCCTAAATTTGGCCTTTAACACTAAATATTATTATTGATAATGGATTAAAATATATTGTATTTGTAGTCAGGGAGTGGGATTGTTTCAAAAACATTGTATGCCAGTGAAAATTAGAAATAATATTTCTCTTTTGTAAGGAGTTCATGCTTGCTTATCATGTAAAACTTAGCAAAGATTCTAAAGAGCAATTTTCTTAACAACCTTTTAAAGTAGAGGGTTCTTTTATTTAGGGGGAGAAGAACTCCCTTTGAGAGGCAAGATGTGGAAACTAACATGACCCAGGCTGTTTACACAAAGCAGTCCACACCTCCCTGATTATGTCAGATAATTTTGCCTTTACCTGAGACAGCTGTCTTCTATTAGCACTGGAAACAAATAGTAAAATCTATGGTCACTGATCCATGACCACCTTCTCATTTTGAATGTTTTGTCCAAGAGGACCTGGAATCCAGAAACTGAGTTGGTGGAAAAGAGCTGTTGCTAGACATAATTTATCAGAGGAAGGAAAGTACAGTGTCCACCTTAAAAACAAACCAAGCTATCGAAATGACTACACATTATAAAATGAACACAATGTGGCAGTCAGTGCCACTTTATGATTTCTTTCCCTTTATATCATAAAAAAATAAAGATAAAAAGCAAATGGTCTTATCACCACAGGCAAGGCTGCCTCTCCCTCTGCAATTTCTGCGGAGCATTTACGGCAGCTCTGGAATTGTTCTGAAGTAAATTTAGATGTTTTGGAGGGCAGATACATGTAATGGTTGTTTTACTATTCTGGGTTTCATGATAACAGGTTGCTATGTCTAAGCCTTGATATTTTGCAGATTTCTAAATGCATTTTATTGCATTTAGAAGAAATTTTGTAGTATTGAGAAAATGCAATGCAAAAATGAGTAGATACAATGTCCGCTTAACTCAGAACAAAACCACCTTATTTCCCCGTAGTTGAAATGGAGGGTAGGGAAGTCAGGCAGTGGTTTCTGAAAGCCGAGAACATAGTAGCACTGTGCCATTCTCTCGCCTGATCCAGTGCCACTCCCTTCACTTGATATCTGTTTACTTTGGAGGAGGCAGTTTTTGAGAAAGGATAATAAATATCCTGGCCCAGTGCCCCAGGAGCCATGACAAGCAAAGGAACATACTTGCCTGGAGATAGCCTTTGCGATATTTAAATGTATGGGTTAATTTTTTATCCACTTTAATAACCGTTTTATTCCTCCTTCTACTTCTTTGCTTTCTCTTTCCACTCTGAAGCTGTGGGTACAGAATCTCTGCAGGCAAGTTGCTCCAGAGCACATTGCAGGACAAACCTGTAACGAATAGTTACATTCACGGCATCTGGATTCCTAATCCTTTTCCGAAATGGCAGGTGTGAGTGGCTGTATAAAATATTCTATGTTTACCTTCAACTTCTTGTTCTGGGTAAGTGTTTTCCTTTTAATTATCAATTTTATGCAAGAAAGGGGATCTTGATATAAATATCGTAAACAAGAACAGACTGTACACTAGAGAAATAGGAGAAGAGGGAAAATATATTTTCCATGTACTTGTTTGGATGTATTTGTTCTTTCTTTGGTTATTTCAGTAATTGAAAATGAGCCAATGATTCAAAAAAGTGCACTTCAGAATCTGTGAGGATAAACATTTCATAAATGTTTTGATATTGCTGTAAAAACAATCACAAAGGAAAACAAATACCCCTTAACTAAAGGACAATTATTCTTAGTTGTATATCAAGCAGGCCTCCCTAATTTAAAGACTCTGTGGTAAAAACATGGTCTGATTCCATCCGGAGCCTGGGTCCTGATTCCTGCCCTTCACTTCTGGGTTTGAACAGGTGAATCACAGGGTGTGGGACAATAAAGATCATTTTCAGAGCCTCAAAGAAAAAAAAAAAAATGGGTCATGAAAACCTTGAGGGGGAAATGATAAAATTCCTAAATCATAAGAAGATCAAACTAAGGCAGTGGATATATATATGTATTGGCATTTTAAAGTCAGTATTTTGATGTGTCATCACCCCACCTTTTAATTGACAGTATTTGTATTTCAGCAATTTGTTATGTTTCTCTTGAAAGTTCATTGACATAGACATAACCAACAAATTGATAAGTGACATCTGTCATTGGAAAATGGAAAAAGAAGGTGTGAAAAGAGCAAGCTGGGATGTTGGGAAATTGACCTTATCATTTTTAGCATATATAGTACAATTAAAGATTGTTTAAATGTCAATCAATGGAACTAGCACAAAGTATTTAAATGAAAAAAGTATTTTGTATACTGGATTAAAAGCTAGCTTATCCACTCCAAGGATGAAAGAACTCTGGTTTTGTTTCCTTAGTAGACCTCTGTTTAAGTCTTTAGTAAACAGACATCTCATATCTATGTGTTGCTATATTTCTGTTCTATTAAAATAATGATGAACTTAATTAAACTTAGCTACATGAATACAGCTTTATTGTATAGACTGATTTTCCATTCAATGATCAGTAGTGCTAATGAGCACAAATAGATATATTGGTGAATTTTAAATAACTAAATATTTTTAAAAGTAAAATAAAGAAGGTAAAAAAAATAGGCTGTTTTTAGGTTTAAAAAATGGGCTGCTTTTGCAAATACTAAATGTAGCTCATGCTACATATATGCCAGTCTTTTAGTTAGTTCTGATACATTTCTTCCCTTGAGATATTTAAATTGATTACGCATTGGGAGTAGGATATATAAAAAAAGACCTGTATTCTTTGATTTTGTTTTGTTTCTAGCTTTTTTTTTTTTATGGAGAACTTTGAATAGTCACAAAAGAAGATAGGATAGGTAATCAACTCCATTGTCCAGCCCCAGTGACCACAGAAAGATGGCCAATCTTTCTCCATTTTTACTCTATTCACTCCCCCCACCCCATATTATCTTGAAGCACATCTCAGATATATAATTTTGTCTGTAAGCATTTTAGTATATATATATCTCTGAAACATAATAATTCTTGAAAAAATGTAACCACAGCCAGGGCGCAGTGGCTCATGCCTATAATCCCAGCACTTTGGGCGATCCAGGTGGGTGGATCACAACGTCAGGAGTTTGAGACCAGCCTGGCCAGCATGGTGAAACCCCGCCTCTACTAAAAATACAAAAAATTAGCTGGGCATGGTGGCGGGTGCCTGTAGTCCCAGCTACTCGGGAGGCTGAGGCAGAAGAATTGCTTGAACCTGGCAGGGGGAAGTTGCAGTGAGCCGAGATTGCACCACTGCACTCCAGCCTGGGTGACAGAGATTCCATCTCAAAAAAAAAAAAAAAAAAAAAGTAACCACAATATCATTATTACGCTTTAAAAACTTAATAAGAATTTTTACAATCAATTGTTAAATTGATTTGACAATTTTAATCAATTTTCAAATTTGAGCCCATTCAGGGCTGAAAATTCCAATTACCTCATAAATGTTCCTGTTAGAATCAGGATCTAAATAAGGTCCACACTTTGTGATTGGTTAATGTATATTTCATGTCTATTTTAATCAGTTGATTCTCCCCCAGTCAACACCTCTTTTTCTCCCTACTGAAATTTTATGCACTGGTGTGTGTTGTTTGTTTTATCACATTGCCCACAGTCTGGATTTTGCTATTTGCATACCTGTGGTGCAGCCTGATACAATTCAAGGTCCTTTTTTTTTTTTTTTTTTGGCACGACAATTATAAGTGTATTCTTTCATGAGGAGGCACTGGATGTTTGATTGTTTCCTTCTTTTGTGACGTTCATAGCCATTGATGGTCAAGGGCCAAAATCCATCATTAGTTCATTAAGAGGTTCAAAGTGATGATATTCTAGTTTCATCAACTTTTCTTTATTTATTAGCTGGAGCACTTTCTATAAGGAGAAATTTCTCATTTACTGTTTCATTACCTGGGTATCCCATTTTTAATATTTTTTAAGTGACATAAAATACTTCTTTCTTATTCTTTACTTACCAGATTGCAAGTGATGAGTTAAGTTACTAGTATTATCCAACAGTGATAAGTTAGTATTTCTTTAAGTATCCTTATGAAATGATAGATCAGCTCCATTACAATGTTTACCCTTATTGATGTGCAATTTGTTCGATCTCTGGCCATCAGGAGCTTCTTCCAAGTTGACCGAAATTCTTTTGAAATGGTCCTAATAACTTTGATAACCTCTTTAGTATTTAGTTTGACATGTTCCAGATCACTTGCTTATTTCCTGTCCAGACCTGGAATCAGCTATTTCTCCACCAAGTTCTAATATCTGTCTTTAAAGAGCTGTAGTCATTGTTTTCCTTACATAATACAGAATATATATGGCACATGTAAACAAACCAAAATATTAATATGCTAATAAATGCAAGGCTCCTATTTTATTAAAGATGTTCCAAAGCACTCAAACCAGTAGCAATCTTCAAATTATGAAACAGTTAAAATATATCTTTATTGTATTAAAACATCCTGGAAAGTGCTAATAGCTATTATGAAGACATCAGAGGTCAGTGTTTCATTAAACAGCTAATCAGAAATTTCAAATGGGTCTGAATTATCAAAATAACAGTCTAGAAAGGGGTAGGTTATAGATTCAGAATTATTTACCTACCTACCTTGATAGGGTTTAAGGTAGATTGTAGAGGTCTGTACCATGCCACACCCAGATATTATCATTGCTTTCCTGGAGAGTTCTTCTTCTTCTTCTTCTTCTTCTTCTTCTTCTTATTATTATTATTATTATTATTATTTTGAGGAGTCTCCCTCTGTCACCCAGGCTGGATGGAGTACAGTGGCATGATCTCGGGTTACTGCAGCCTCTGCTTCTCAGGTTCTAGCAATTCTCCTGCCTCAGCCTCCCGAGTAGCTGGGATTACAGGCATGTGCCACCATGACTGGCTAATTTTTTTGAATATTTAGTAGAGTAGAGAAGGGGTTTCACCATGTTGGCCAGGCTGATCTCGAACTCCTGACCTCAGGTGATCCACCCACTTCCACCTCCCAAAGTGCTGGGATTACAGAGATGAGCCACCGTGCCTGACCGTAGCTCTGATTATTTTATGGTTACATTATCTGTTTGTTTCTTTGATAACAGAGACAAGTCTTTCTGATGCTGTAGATTTCAGTTAGACCTTTCTAACTAATGTCCCTTGGCGATTCCTACCACCAGCATATGTGGTGGGATTTACAATCTCTACATAAGAGATTTTGAAATGGAGTCTTTCAGTGAGAGCAACAGTTGTAAAAACCAGTGATAATTTCTTAGCCAAGAGGTGATATCAATATTTTAAATTCAAATATAGGCAGCAAGAGGAATCTCTGAGGTTAGGAAAGGTTCCTATATCTACTGTCCCTTCTATGCTCAGCTCTGAGCTCTCAGTTGGAATTTTACAATCCTTCATAGGAAATTAGCAATTTGTCACATTCCTAATGCTTACTTAAGTAAAAATTTTAATGACCCCACTGATGTGGTTTTCTTATAGATGCCCAGGGCCTTATGTTTTCAAATGCGTTCTTTCTGGTATGACTTGCAAAACTGAGCCTTTGCAAAGTAGAGCCAGATGTTAAAATATCTCTTAGATATGCATGTGATCATTTAATCTAAACAGACCAGGTTCTTTTGGGAGACAACTTGAGATATACCACATAAGTATATGGTGATTTCGATTTGTTAGAAGTACTAATTGAAGAAAAACATGTAAAAGTGAAAGTTATTCCTGATTACTCATGCTAGAGTTGGATGCAAGTTAGAGAACTGGAGGTGCTAGAGATAATAGATAAATTATAGGTACAAAACCTATTTCCCTGAGTCTTGTTTCAAAAATAGATGAAATGCCCCAATTTTTTAATGCTCCTCTCAGATAGTTCAAGCCTAGGAATATTGTAGATGCTTATGGTGCCTTAGGGGTCTGAGTAAGTATGAAACATGGGGCCTTTGGCTGGTGGATACAAGGGAATAATGGCTAGAGAGAGAGCTATGGAAAGGCCAGTTCTTAATGAGGGAAAGAAGAATGAGGTACATTATGAATCTCAAATGAGTCATAGGGAGGAGCCAAATTGTAAAGCTGAATGTATTAGTAACTGAAGGAAGCCACTGCACAAGGAGGTTTGAAGAAAGCAGAAAGAAGTTGGAACTTGTAGAGAGTCCGGGATCCAGCGTTTCAATATTCATCATTTTATTTTATTGAGATTGGATGTGCTGAGAGCAATTAAAAGATTGGAGGCAAAGCAGACATAACCCTGAGATGGTGGTACACTGAAAAGAATAGGACACAATTATATTTTATTGTGTCCGTTGATGGAATCTTTCAAGATGAAGACCTAACAATGGCTGAAGTGTATGAATTTTGTAAATACAGTGGTTGCCTGACCCTATGTAATTAGCATGGAACTAAAACAGCAACAAAAGGCATTAGAGTCCACTGGTTGATAGAGCA